CTAAAGCAGTCTATGGGCGTAACATTTTTAATAAAAATTAAAGAGGTTACTTTTAATAAAAAAAATGAACTGTCCTTTGAAAATAAAATTAGTTAAACATACATTATGCAAGAGCTCAATCTACCAAATTGTAGGTCTTTCTTTAGGACTAGTGAGGGAGGGGGGTCTAAGGATCGCTTGTCCAACATCGTGGGTTTTCTCCGGTTTCGTCCCACTGCTAAAGACCCCTACGCGCAAGCGAAATATTGAAATAAAATTGAACCATATGTTAGTCCCGAAATGACCCAGTTTCTATCGCGTGGACGTTAAACTCCATTCTCTCTCTCTCTCTCATCATTCTCCTTCCACATTTTCATAGTGGTCACAGCCCATCCGACCGGGCGTTTGTTTACAGTACTCTGTGAACCCTCTTGCGCTCACAATAGTTATCTGATTTTAATACAGATATGTTTGTGTTCCAAATATTTCGGATGAATTCGATTTTTGTGCGTATGGGACGGCAACATCATCAGGGATTATTGCCCCTGGTCGTACAAGATCATCTACATAGATTGTGGACCCTCTAGAGGTCACTTTTTTTATGACATCATATGAAACTTGAAATATGCTTATAGCCCATACATCTCGGATTGATGCGATCTCGTACTTCATGGATTATTGTCCCGGATTGTACAAAAATCGCCGACATATAGCTTGCGGACTGTGGTACCAATTTGTATTCGATTTTGATAAACTTTCAACAATATAGAGAACCACCTACTCTGCCGAGTTTTTTATTTTACTTTATCGACGAGTGTTGATATTTTTTTCTATCAAAAAAGACGAGTAGCTTTCTTACATGTACAAATAAATAAATATAATTCTTTACTATAGAATTCACTTTTACTGAACCTGATTACATTACAGCGTAGTGATACATCATTTTTTGACAGCAATTCATTGCAAAGTCCTTTATATTGACCTAGTGTTTCCATCAATTAAATGAAAATAGTTCATTTTTAATAAAAATTAAAGAAGTTACTTTTAATAAAAAAAAAAATGATCTGTTCTTCGAAAATAAAATTAATTAAACATACATTATGCAAAAGCTAAATCTGCCAATTGCAGGTGTTTCTTTAGGCCTGAAATGTTATCTAAATTATTAATTAGACATTAATTAACTTATCCAGACCATAATTAACTCTCGATGGCATTGCTAGCCTGTGATATTTATCGGATTAGAACTCAGTCTGCTTCTGATTAAATCAAAACGTGGATAATCGAGACTATGTTTTTTTATCCTATCCACTTCCGGCGTGGTTCTCCCTTGTCAGTGATGCAGGACGGAGGGGCTGACAAGGAAAGCTGTCTAGTCGTTCGGATGGGACGAAAAACCGAGGTCCCGTGTACACATTGGCGTGCACGTAAAAGATTCCTTGGCAGTTGGAATTCGATATGAGAGTAGGCCGTAGTGCCGCTGTCCGGGCAAAATTTCCCTCATAGCACACTGTATGGCATATGCCCGTCTTCATTAGCCCAGGTAAGGAGCAGAACAGTAGGACGTTAAACTCCATTTCATTTCATTTGATGAAGACGAGAGTATCCTTGTCGAAACCTCGCTTAGTATCAAACTCAGTAATTGTGTATCCATAAAATTGTACTTTGTGTTAATATTTTCTATTACTAAATGCCAATTAAAGAAGGAAAAAAAATGCAAAAATTGGGCGTGGCTCTGTCCCTGGGAGTTTGACATGGGCCAATATAAATAGGTACAACCCTATGATGGATCATACTGAATTGGATCCAAATATGTTAATACTTGCAACCCCTGTAGATATTTTATTAACAAAAAGTGGGTGTGGCAACGCCCAATGGTGGTGGATCATGTACCGAAATCAATAGCTGCCATCCTTGGGGTATAAGGAATAAGTATACTAAGTTCCAAGATAATCCAAGCACAATTGTGGCCTTCAAACTCTAAACACAATTTTTTTTTTTTAAAAAATGGGGTAGAGATATGCACTAAAATCAATAGTATCTGCCCTTAGGCTATAAGGAATACATGTGTCATAGAGAATACATGATCAATTCAGAATTGCGGCCAGTATACGATAAACACAAAAACTGGACGCGGCTCTACCCCTAGAAGCCGGGACATGCACCAAATCAATAGTTGCCGTCCTTAGGCTATAAGGAATACTTATAACCAATATCAAGTTCCAAGACAATTTATTAAAAATTGTGTAGGCAACACACAGACACACAAAGAAAAAATATGTGTGGCTCAGCCCCTGGGTGTCGGGCATTCACCAAAAACAATAAGGGATCATCCTTAGAGTATAAGGAATAGGTATGCAAAGTCTGAAAAGGATCTGTAGGCGACACAAAGACACACGCAAAAATTGAGCATGGCTCTGTCCCAGGTGGATGGGCATGCACCAAAAATAATAGAGGTCATCCTTAAGGAATACGTATTAAAAGTTTTCAAGACATCCATTAAGAATTGTGGCCTGTAGACGACACACAGACAAAGACAAATGGGCGTGGCTCTGCCCCTGGGGGTTGGGCATGCACCAAAAACAATAGTGGTGATCTTTAGGGTATAAGGAATAAGTATCCAAAGTTTCAAGATGATCCGTTAAGAAATGCATCCTGTATATGACAAACAAACAAATACTAAAAATGCTGAACAGAGTGCTGCCCCAGAATGTGTCTCTTTACCTGGAACTTCCTGGGGGTTGGGCATGCTCAAAAAAACAATAGTGATGATCCTGAGGGTATAAGAAATAAGTATGCAAAGTCTGAAGTGGATCCGTTAAGAAATGGAGCCTGTAGACGAAAAACAAATACAAAAAATGGGCATGGTTCTGCTTCTGAGAGTTGGGCATGCACCAAAAACAATAGGGATCATCCTTAGGGTATAAGGAATAAGTATACCAAGTTTCAAGACAATCCATTAAGAATTGCACCCTGTAGGCAACCCACAGACACACACATACAGAGAGAGAGAGAAATGGGGTTTAACGTCCACTCGACACAAGCTATGTCATTTCGGGACTAACATGGTTCAATTTTATTAGTATAATTCGCTTGCGCGTAGGGGTCTATAGCAGTGGGAGGAAACCGGAGGACCCGGAGAAAACCCACGAGGTTGGACAGGCGACCCTACTCCTTGTCACGTACAGCCGGGGATTCGAAACCATGCCAGTTGACTCATTGACAGGCCTTATGATACAGTGCGCATGTGCTAACCATTCGGCCATCAAACCCCCCACTTAAACACAGACTTGGGCAACAGCATGATGTAGTCAAGGGCCATAATCCAGGAAGATACGGTCCGATATACACAAATACCGAAAGGAACTGAGATCTTTTGGATATAAACATATATATTAAGTTTCATCAAGATTGGATAAAAACCGACCTGGTCCACAACCTTGGTATTACATACTTTTATACTATTTGCGAACTAGGAGCGACCATTTTGTCCAGCAGTTTCAGTCAGATTTTTTTCGAAATTCAAACTCAATCTTGACTGAGGTGTAACGACAATATATTTAAACAGAGTAGGTAGAAATGGCTGATTCTTCCAGTTACCCCAATTTTTTGTGTGACTAGTTTCGTTTGTATTAAACTCTTCAGACTGATTAAATTCCGGGTCCCCTGTAAGATTTTTACCGGGGTTTCGAGTTTGGCAGGGTTGCGATGGTTGTTTTACCGGGGTTTGGTATTTTGGCAGGGTTCATGAGTCTGTCTAATAACGGGGTTCGGTGTTGTTTCGGGTTGACGCATTCAGGGGCCATAACCCGGGAAGTTATGTTCCGAGTTGCACGATTATCGACAGGAACCAAGATCTTTGTGATATAAACATAAATTTCAAATTTCATCAAAATCAAATAAAAATTGTAACTTCTAGAGGATCCACAACCTTGGTACTACATATCTTTAGACTATTTGCATACACAGAGCGTCCAGTTTTGTCGGGCAGTTTCTGTCCTATTTTCACAAAGTTCATCCTCAACCTGACATTATATGGTGTAATGGTGATATATATAAACGTTTTTTTAAATGTGATAAAAATTGTGACCGCAGTGGGACCACAAGCTAAAAACGCGATTTTTCGTACAATCAGGAGCCATAATCTAGGAAATTATGGTCCGATATGTGTGAATATCGAAAGGAACCGAGATCTTTGGGTTATAAACATACATTTTAAGTTTCATCAAAATCGGATAAAAATTGCGACCTCTAGGGTGTCCACAAGCTAAAAACGTGATTTTTGATATGATCATGGGCCATAATCCATGAAGTTACGGTCTGATACATGCCAATTTCGAAAGGAATTGAGATCCTTTGGAGATACACCTATATTTTAAGTTTCGTTAAAATCGGATAAAAATTGTGACGTGTAGAGTGTCTACAAACAAAGTGTGAATGGACACGCGGGCGGACAGGGGCGACGACAATAATACATCCACATGAAAATATGAAATGGGGTTTAACATCCTACTTTTCTGCACCAACTGGGCTAATGAAATGGGGTTTAACGTCCTACTGTTCTGCTCCTATACTGGGCTAATGAAGACAGGCATATGGCATACTATGTGCTATGAGGGCAATTTGGACAGTGACACTACGGCCTACTCTTATCAAATTCCAACTGTAAAGACTTCTTTTACGTGCAAGCCAGTGTGTACACAGGACTTCAGTTTTTCATCCCAAACAACAAGATAGCCCCCTCCTCCCCCCCCCCACCTCTTCCTGCACCACTGACTAGGGTTTTAAACCATACTGGAAAATCCCAGAGAATTTTCTATGCCAAGTCCTGGGTTGAAGTCCTCCTCATGGTTAGCGATCCAATGCACACTGATCCGCAGTGAATATTCGCTTGGCCGCTGTCGCATTAGGTCTGTAAAACAGATTGGATCCAATGCTCTACATAGAAAATATGACAAATGGGAATAAGTTTCAAAAATCATATTTACAGCTTTTTCTTTCACCTCACTGATCAAAAATAAAGCAATAGTTTAAGATTTTATTCCAATTTGAAGACGTGAATTTTCATGATATATATGATATATATGTATGAATATTTTATTAATCAGCCAAAGATAGGTTGCCAGGCAAAGAAACATAAACCCACAGCAGCTAAATCGTCCGAGCAGTCGAAAAGGATTGTTGCATATTTATTCATTTGTAGGTAATTGGGGGCCTTTACAAGACCATTTCATACAGATCAGATTATAATTTCCATCGTTTGAGAGTTAAAATGGTTCTACAAACTGAAACAAGGGCCTCAAACTTTGTGGGTGGGGGTGACAAATGGTTAGCGCATGTGCCTTGGATCATAAGGTCTGTTATTGAGTATCGCCTGTCCAACCTCGTTGGTTTTCTCTGGGTTTCCTCCCACTGCTAAAGACCCCTACGTGCATGTGAATTATTGAAATAAAATTGGACTATATATGTTAGTCCCAATATGACCTAGTTTGTGTCAAGTGGACGTTAAACCCCATTTTTCTCTCCTTAACTCTTGAAGTAATTTACAGAAATTGTTAAAATTTGACAGGATCTTTCGTTTTACTAATTTAAATAATGCATATAAACTTCATACAGATCTGCGATGATAACTTTTATTGTGAGAGTGTTCACAAGATTCAACAAAGTGAAACAAGGGCCATAACTCTAGAAATAATTAACGGAAATGGCTGAAATTCAATAGGCTTCTTCGTTTCACTAATTAAAATGATGCATATAAATTTCAGACAGATCAACTGATAAGTTTTGGTGTTTGAAAGTTCACCAAAGTGAAACAAGGGCCATAACTCTAGAACTAATAAACGGAAATTGCTGCTATTCAATCGGCTTCTTTGTTTTACTAATTTAAATAATGCATATGAATTTAATACAGATTGGATCAGAGGGTTTGACAAAGTGAAATAAAGGGCCATAACTCTAGACATCTTCTTTCCCTTTCCAGGTAATTTTTATCTGGGAAGAGTCACACACAAATAAATTTTTTTAATGGACAATAAATGATTTTAAACACCGAAGTTGAGATCTGTGTCAAGGGACTTTTAACTAACTTTTGAATTATATGTAGAGAACTGCACGAACATTTTTATATGTAAATACTCCACGGGTCCAGCTATGTGGTTTTTACTGCGAGAAATTCGCTTTTCCACATTTAACCAACGGATTCTTTTTCCCACAGAGATTTTTCAATCCGTATCAATGGCATCGACAAAGTGAGAAGATGACCCGCCCTGTGTTTTAAAGTGACTTTATAATATACAAGAACTTTTTTTTATTTTTAGTGATTTTACCCATTATCTGTATATTACTCCTTCAGATGTAAATAATTTAATTAAATCAACCTGTCCATAATATCATATGTATTGGACGTTAAATTTGTAATAAACAACAAACATAATTACCGGAAATTGCTGAAATTCAATAGGCTTCTTAGTTTCACTAATTAAAAAGATGCATTTAAATTTTATAAAGATCAGGATAATTTTTGTCGTCCACAAGGTGCAATAAGTGACACAAGGGCCATAACTCCAGAAGAAATTAACAGAAATTATTGAAATTAAAAAAGCTTCTTTATCTCACTTATGTAAACAACATATATCAATTTCAAAACAATCAGATGATAAATGTAGTTTTTATAGAGTGTTCACAAGAAAGTGTGGACGACAAACTGACAGAATGGGCGACGACAATATAATAATGATGAATGAACTATCACAACAGATAGATCCTTCTCATAAAGCAAGCTTGCAGTATAAATAGAAATTATTAAAGGCATTGCACATTTTAAAGCTAGCATTTGATTACATAAAATAAAAACTATATAATTATTGATAACCAACCATCCTTTTCTAATCTATCAATCTTTTTCTGTGTGTTTATGATCAAAACTTTAAAACAATCAGCGGCTGCCAGGCAGGATACGCCCACATTTTGCAAGAGATGGATAGGGAACAAGCTAAAAACAAACGTAAATTTTTGTACAATCAGGGGCAATAATCCAGACAGTTATGGTCTGAAATGCGCAAATATCAAAAGGGAATGAGATCTTTGGGATATAAAGATACGTTTTAAGTTTCATCAGAATCGGACAAAAATTGTGACCTCTAGAGGGTCCACAATCACGTATTGCATACTTTTACACAATTTGCGTACAAAGAGCAGCCATTTTGTCGGGCAGTTTAATTTCGATTTTCCCGAAATTCGAATTCAACCTTCATTATGGTGGAATGGTGAAATATTTAAACGGTTTTTAAATCGGAAAAAAAAATTGTGACCTCTAGAGGGACCACAAGCTAAAAACATGATTTTTCATACAATCAGGGGCCATAATTCAGGAAGTTACGGTCCGATATGCACGAATATCGAAAGGAACCGAGATCTTTGGGTTATAAACTTACATTTCAAATTTCAACAAAATTGTGACCTCTATAGGGTCCACAAGCTAAAAACACGATTTTTTGTACAACCAGGGGCCATAATCCATGAAGTTACGGTCCAATACATGCCAATATCGAAAGGAACCGAGATTTTAGGGAGATAAACCTATATTTCAAGTTTCGTTGAAATCAGATAAAAATTGTGACCTGTAGAGTGTCCACAAACAATCGCGGACCGACGTCCGGACAGACAGGGGCGACGACAATATACGTCCATATGAAAATGTGGGCGTACAAAAACTTATATAAAATCGTTCTAATATTCGTTTCTCATTAGTACTAAATAAATAGAAAGTGTTTCATTCAAACAAAACTAAGACTCAGTATCCTAATCATAAAATATATATGTTTTGAATAGCAATAATAGGCATTTATTATCATATTGTACAGAACACAATAAATCCCAAAAATATTATGAATTGGTCAAAAGAAAGAATCTAAAACTTTTGATATCCATTATTTGCAGCATATTTTTAAGATAGAGTTGTAACAAATAAATGATATGCATATTTCGTGATTGAACATTACCAATAAAACATTTACAAAAAAAAAGATCTTCATAACAATAATATTGACCTCAATAATGTCACAAGAACAGTAACAATAAATATGATTTTATAATACACCTCACATAATTGACAACTACTTCAAAGAGTATCTCTTTCTCAAAGATTTCAAAATTTCATATATATTAAAATTTGAATACAGCGGTATATTAAATAATTAGATTTTATTTTGAGCTCGGCTCCATAACATGATTTTGTAAGCAAGATATGTAATAATTTCAAAAAATTTTAATAAATGATAAAAGTAGTCACATTAAGGACGACATCTTTCTAAGAACCGAGGATAAAGACAAACTTCTCTGATATGATATCTGTTAAGAAACCAACATAAAAATCTCTCCAGACCTAATCCATAACCCCCATGTGGACAAGTACCATACCTTCTCTGAAATAAATCATTTCAAATATAGAAATAGTTAACACGGAAAATAAAATGAAATGAAATGGGGTTTAACGTCCTACTGTTCTGCTCCTATGCTGGGCTAATGAAGACGGGCATACGCCATACAGTGTGCTATGAGAGAAATTTTGCCCGGACAGCGGCACTACGGCCTACTCTTATATCGAATTCCAACTGCCAAGGGATCTTTTACGTTCATTCCAGTGTATACACGGGGACCTCGGTTTTTCGTATCATCCGTCCTGCATCACTGGGTGAACTTTTTTGGCCAATGCAGGGATCGAACACCCGATCTCCAGGCTAGCGAGCCAGCGTTTTACCCACCTTGCCACGTGATCCCCAACATGGAAAATAACTTTGGTCATGTGGAAAATAATAGTACATGAAATCAATACGAGGTTTAACCTCCTCTATAATGTTTATGGCGGTATATTAGATTCAAAATTCTATCGTGTTATCGTCGAACTTCTATTCATGTAATTTCTAATCTATGACAATGTATAACCGTATCTTTTTTATTTGTTTCGCATAAATGGGGCTTCTAATCTTGCTAGATCATTGATATAAGCGACTCATGCATTCAGAGTTCTTTACTGTCAACTTCTATCTATACAATAACACATGACACATTTATATGGAATACAAGTTACTTAAAGAGTTTATTACAGCGACATTTCGACGACGATTCTCCCGTCTTTATCAAGCAAATAATGCACAAACGGATTAGTTTAGTAATAGTATGATTACTGTACCAAGAGAACGAGGGCCTTGTAATTGGTTGGTTTAAAACCTTCAGTAATGTGTAGATTGGTCAACTCCAGATCAACCTACTAATCGAAGACAGGCACTCCATATCTAACTCACAGTTTGCATACACAGCAAATTTTTCAATTAAACTATAAATGTCAATATTTACCTGGTCAATGTACCAATAATATGGAGTGGGATCTATTCCTTCTCTCTTAAAACCTTCTTCTAGTTCCTGTAATTGCCAGATTCTCATAGAACCTCCAATAATCTCACCAACATTAGGCATCAATAAATCAACCTACAAATCCAAATCAAACGTGACTTAATTTACGTAGAAGTTTTTTTTTAGTCAACCTCCATTATACACTTACCAGGATTCCATGATCTACAAACACTCAGCCATCAGCCCTGATCACCACAGATTCTTATTTGAAAGGTTCTTTATCGGCAATACTATATACCGGAAAACTACCGGAAAATGCCATGTTATACTGAATACCACAAAATACCGGAAAAACAGTAAATACCGGTGTTTTCCATTCCAGAGGACCAGGCTCCAAGATACTTATTTATGGGTGTTTTCCAGTATCTAGTGTGTTTTCCAGTATTTAGTGTTTTTCCGGTATTCAGTATAACATGGTGTTTTCAGGTAGTTTTCCGGTATATAGTATAGACCGTTCTTTATTATACAGAGTAATCAATTCGAACAAGTTGTTATGCAGTGCAAGATTTACCTATAGGCTTGACATGCTGAAGTCTAGGATCTTCACTATCTAGGGTGACCCAGGTGTGTTATATTTTTGACACAGTTGTAAGCCTTTCTTACATGCATTGTACTGTAGTCTGCCATCATCATCTCAACAAATTTTCATCTTCCTCAGCTTTGCTGTTTTGTGTTTTAAACACAGTTTCATCTTCCTCTTGTCGTGAAGGGGGGGGGGGGAACGTCATACATGGAATAGCCTATGGCCACTCTTCATATAAGTGGGGGGTGGGGGAGGGACCTCATAAATGGAATAGCCTGTTATTATTTCTTGAAAAAGGGAAATGAACAGAAATAGTTTTGGATTTTCTGATAATACAGAGTTACACTACTCACTGATTCTGTTAGTCTTGGGTCTTCAGTACATCTCATCATATAGAAAGATTTAATTTCAGCAGGGAATCTACATAAAAATATTGGTTCATTAATTTTGTCCGTCATCTTCCTTTCTGGTGCTTCTGGTATATCCTGTAAAATAAACAAGGTAAACAGGCTACAATTTATATTAATAAATTCCATAAGATTTAATATTAATTCAATACCGGAAACGTTTTAGTAACTCAAGAATAGTCGTCCTCTTCAGCGTACCATGAAAGTCGGTTTATGGTCTCGAACACCAATGATTATTTATCACCAATGGCCTGAATACTCACTGGTGACAATCTGTCTGGTAAAACGGGTCTTTTTTCTTCACTGATTGTATGTCGTGAACAAGAATTACTCATCGCTGTCATTATTATAGAGATGTTTACTTAAAGATACATTATGTAAGATTAAGATGAAGAGCTGGCTGTTCTTGTTATAATAGTTCAAAAATAGATAATGTAAAATGAAAATATTGAAAATTTCATTCAAATTACTTTATTCCGAGCCAAGTTATTACTGCTTGTAGTTTTGACAAGATGTGTGCATTGATTGTTTATTATTGGAACCAGGGTACTGGTATATTCGAGTCTTAGCCTCGCTTCTCCATTTTTAAATTAAATCGCCGAATCGTTCTAATGTACTTAAAATCGGAGCCATCCGATGGCAAAGAGAGTTTATTATGGTCTGGATAAGTTAATTAATGTCTAATTAATAATTTAGATAACATTTCACGCCTAAAGAAAGACCTGCAATAGGCAGATTTAGCTGTTGCATAATGTATGTTTAAGCATTTACCCACACAAGGAGTTGTTGATACAATGCTATACATAGCAGCATCCATCATTTGGAAATAATTTTAGCACCCTAAACAATGGAGATAATCTGTCTGTCTATATAATTTACTGTAGAACAAATGAAATGAAATGAAATGGGGTTTAACGTCCTACTGTTATGCTCCTAAACTGGGCTAATGAAGACGGGAAAACGCCAGCGGCACTACGGCCTACTCTTATATCAAATTCCAACTGCCAAGGGATCTTTCAGGTGCACGCCAATGTGTACACGGGACCTCGGTTTTTCGTGCCATCCAAAGGACTAGACAGCTGTCCTTGGCAGGCCCTCCATCCTGCATCACTGACAAGGGTGAACCACGCCGGAAAATCTGGATGAACTTTCTCGGCCAATGCAGGGATCGAACACCCAACCTCCAGGCTAGCGAGTCAGCATCTTACCCACTTAGCCACCGTGATCCCCAAGATGGCGGTGGAAAATCAGACAAATCAATCATTTACCTCACCAAATTCATAGAATGTTCCATCTTCCTTGCGTATATCATTTGCTTTCAGGTATTCAATAGCATCTGTATAGTTCATTCTTTTAAAAGGTCGTTTTGGTGCTTTGAACTCCTGTAAGAATCAAACGAGATCCTATGTTAGTCAACAACTGGGATTTTTACAAGATCACTGATTTCTATACAATTCAGGAAAACAGTTTGATAAAATTAATTGTAACCAATTATCTATCATAATAACATTTAGATAAAGAGTTTGTTTATATATCGGTACATTAATCATATCTCCATTGTTATAATCCCTAAATCACTAAAGAATCAGCCCTTAATACAAACACAGAAGATAGGTTGCCAGGCAACAACACAAACGCCCAAAGCTGCTAAATTATCTGAGTGGTCGACCAGGTTTGTCCATATTTAGTCTTTTGTAGGTAATGATGGGGGGGGGGGGGGGGGTGTGAACAAAGTAATACAAAGGCCATAACTCTAGACGTAATTGACAGAAGTTGCTGAAATTCAATAAACTTCTTCAACTTCTAAATGCAGATTGGATAATACAAAGGCCATAACTCTAGACGTAATTGACAGAAGTTGCTGAAATTCAATAAACTTCTTCAACTTCTAAATGCAGATTGGATAACTTTTGTCATTAGGGCGATCACACGGTCCACAAAGTGAAACAAGGGTCATAACTCAAGCAGAAATTAACGGAAATTATTGAAAATAAATAGGACTCTTCTTCTGATTAATGTAAACAACATATATCAATTTCAAAACAACAAGATGATAAATGTAGTCTGTAGCGGACAGATGGAGGCGGCGACAATATACGACCATATTTTCATGTGGGCGTATAAAAATGGGCTAATAAAAAAACACAACAACGGTGTTAACACCCTTTAAGTATGATAGAAATTGTGGACGACAGATCGACAGACAGTCGTGACGACAATATATGACCACATTTCCATGTGAGCATATAAAAATGAGATTAATCAATAGGTACATGGGAATAGGGTGCAGACATCCAAAAAAAGAAATGAATACAAAAAAAATCAAATTTCAGATGATCCACCTGTAAAAGTCGTGGCTTCAAACTATACTTTATTACACATCGTCCGTGAAGTGTCAAAAGGGTGTATCTAAGAATTTCTAAAGATTAAGAAATAGAACCTTTTGCATTTCAAATCCCCAATTGTACGTGGCAAGGAGTAGGGTCGCCTGTCCAACCTCGTGGGTTTTCTCCGGGTCCTCCGTTTTCCTCCCACTGCTAAAGACCCCTACGCGCGAGCGAATTATGTAAATAAAATTAAACTATGTGTTAGTCCCGAAATGACCTAGTTTGTGTCGAGTGGACGTTAAACCCCATTTCTCTCTCTCTCTTTTGCATTTCAAAATTTCCACAAATCAAGATACAACATTTGGACACATGATACCCAGAACAGTTCTAATTGGCGTAGAGATTTAGACAGAAATGTGCATATTAATTGGGAGAGTTTAAAAATGCAAAAAAGTGTATTTGACTAATTTCCCCGAGATACACCCTTTTGACACTTCACCGATGACATTTCTTGTTGTTATAACATATTCACTCAATCATTTAGTTTATCCAACATCACCATTATCAAATTTGAATGGCAATATCGGAAAATTTCATGAGGGGAGATCTAGGATCAATAAGGGTACTTACAGGATGAAGATCTTTTACAATATGAGCAAAAGGAGACTTGAGGACACGGTCTACAACATCACATACAAGATCTTCCAGTCTTTCCAATAATTGATCAAAGTTGAGGAAAGGACATTCGGCTTCAACATGAGAATATCTGAATAATAAATACAAGATGAAACCAATAAAATCCATGCTTGTGGATGGCAGACAGACAGGGGCGACGGCCATATACGACCACATTTCCATGTGGGCGTATATAAAAATGGGCTAATAAAAAAACACAACAACGGTGTAACACCTTTCAAGTATGATAGACGAGTAAAAGTTAAAGAGTATTTACTTACTCCGCTAAATGTCGTCTTGTACGAGATTTTTCTGCCCTATAAGACTGGGCTATACAGAACACATCTCCCATCGATGGTAAACATGTTTCTAGATATAATTGTGAACTCTGTGTTAAAAAAGCCTGTAAAATGATCAGGGAATAAAATGACTAAAACTAAATGATAATTCCCACTTTCCAGAGTCATAAATAACATAGCCATGGCAACGAGTATACACTCACGAAAGGTGGTTTTCACGTTACAGAGCATCAAATAGATAGGCAACTGTAACTTTCAATTTACAACCCACCAAAGAATTCTTAGAAGCTTGAAAAATAAAAACAAAAATAATCTCAAAAACTTTGATCTGTAAAGCATTTTCAAGATTCTAGTCACAGGGGTAGTAACCCTGAGCAAAAAACAATGTGCAAGTCTGAATTTCTACAGAGTTCCCCCTTGTGACTATATGTATGGTCAATTAGCATGTTTTTGGCAGAATATATCTTTACTTACAGTTTCTCCAAAATAGTCAAATTTAAATAATGTAGATCCCCCTTCTACTTGAGTTTGAACCATAGTAGGAGGTGTGACTTCAAAATATCCTCTACTTAAATAATGTTCTCTAAAACACTGCATTAACACAGATCTCATTTTAAGAATTTTAGAGGTCTGAAAAAAATAAATTTAACAGTAACATTTCATAATTTTGTATTGCCTGGTGATGAAAATATATTGTGATACATAAGGGGCAATAACGACAGCAGACTCCGCATATAACGGACGCACATACAACGGACACTCGCCTATAACGGACACAACAGTTTGGTCCTGATTTTTGTAATAGAAATTTCTTATTTTCAAATAGTTTAAAGGCTTTGAAACCACTCATGCGTCATTCTGTTGATATCAAGGTAATCAACTAAGACACACACGAGTATTAATATCACCGATAATCGATTGGTGATTGCTTGTCAATTTTTTGTAGGTTAACACCCACAGATTGAAGGCGGGTTTATACAATGTTAATTCAATGCAAATTGTGTGACGGGACCGCAGGCTGATGTCAAAATTCGGAATATTCAACCTTTTTGGGTTGAAGTAATAAGGAAATACATCAGGATATGAAAATAATGAATTTCACAGAATGCTGCAGTATTGAGAAGCCAGATGTGACCGAGTCCACTGTACTAACCCAATATACTTACATTTTCTCCTCGAATCATGATGTGCCTGTTGTCAAGTTGAACATCAACATTTGCATCCTAGAAAAAAACAATTAATGGTATAAAATTTGTTTGAATTCAATTTTGAATGGATTTTGCTCCAGTTTATGGGTTTTGTTCAAAATTTACACAATTATATACTATTCAAAAAAAGTAGGGGATATTTGATTTTTAAGTGTTATTAAAGTCACCTAATGAAACTGACGAAGAAACAAATGACAAAATGAAATGAAGTTCACATTCATCGATGTATTCCAAATGATCGTTAGACTAAGTAAGGCACAGACTGACCATTATAAGGGTAAAATGATACCCGGGGTCAAACAGCAAAGTTACCACAGCATCACAACCTAGTCAGTAACGGGTAAATCCTCCTCTGTTTGCCAAACAAGCATTGATCCGACGTGGCATACTCATAATGAGACGTCTAAGGTCATTTTGGTCCAGATTGTCCCATTCCTGTTGCAACGCAGCAGCAAGTTCTTGGACATTGGCAGGACGTTGTTGACGTTGACGTAACCTCTGTCCAAGCATGTCCCAGACATGCTCGATGGGGGAGAGGTCGGGACTCAGTGCTGGCCAAGGTAATGTGGTGATGTTCTGTTGTTGGAGGTAACCTGTAACGATCCTGGCCCTGTGACATCTTGCGTTGTCATCCTGGAAGATGAAACGGCGGCCATGACGTCGTGCGAACGGCACAACATGGACTGCCAAGATGTTGTCCCGGTAGTACTGGCCTGTAACACGCCCTGCAACAACATGTAAAGCCGTTCTTCCAGCAACAGTGATGCCTCCCCACACCATAACAGAACCACCCCCAAATCGATCATGTCTGATGACGTTAACGTCTTGGAAGCGCTCGTTTCGACGACGCCACACCCTCCTACGTCTGTCCAAAAAATCAACAGTGAACCTTGACTCATCTGAAAACATCACATTGCTCCAGCGTCGATTATCCCAGTGTTGACGATCCCTACACCAACGACGTCTTGCCTGAATGTGATGATCTCTCAAACAAGGGATCACGCGAGGACGTCGGGCGCGAAGGTGACCCCTATGCAGTCGATTCCGAATCGTCTGGCCACTCACTCTCACACCAGTGTCTGTTTGAAGACGAGCGCTGATCTGATTTGCTGTGATGACACGATTTCTCAAGGCCAAGGTACGGATAAATCGATCCTGGGCTTGAGTTGTCGCCCTTGGTCGACCTGAGCGTGGTCTGTCCTGTACAGATTGTGTATCACGGTATCTGGACCATAGCCTGCTTATGACAGACTGAGAAACATTCATCGTCCCCGCCACAACCGCCTGTGTTGTGCCGATCTGTAGCATGCCAAGGGCACGTAACCTTTCATTTTGGGTAAGCCGACGCATATCAAAATTTGTTTTCTGGTCACTAAAACAATTAAACTGATGTTTCCACCCTGGAATTCAATGCCACAATGACTGTAACATTCAAAGTCAGAGTCGTGCAAATCTTGGGTTGGACCCCCATGATGATCCCAAGCATCACCTGCATTCCATGCGGTAGCTATTGGTGCGTTTGGGCGTCACATGTAACTGGAAATGTTTCTTCTGTTAGGTTCTATAGTGACTTTTTTCGTAGTCATTTGCATATTTTAGTATTATGCCCCCAAAATCAAATATCCCCTACTTTTTTTGAATAGTATATATATATGTGTGTGATTTTGGCTTTATGATTGTAAATAATTTCTGTCAAGAACCACTTTCTATTTTGGCACAATGTTTATGTTTTTGCAGATATTGAAATTTCTAACACACATTATCAAAACAAGCCAACAGTGAGGCTGATGACCCTCGCCGAAATCCCAAAATAATTAGATGACATATATTCACGTTTATCTTTTTCAAAAGTATCGAGCAATCAAACAAATTATCTATACTTAGTCTAAGCATAAAATGTTCACGATCGAACACAGTCAAGGTTTTGAAGTACCTGGTAGTGAAACTATACACTAAGTTTCATCATTCTCTACTAGTGATAATGGATAATGCGCATGATCGAACTTCATCAAGGCATTCACCTAATAGACACCTACACCACATTTGAACATTCTAGCTCAATTGGAAGGAGAGTTATTGTGTTCCAAAGTCTCAACCAATCAGATTGAAGTCTCTACTTTGCCTAAGCAGAAAATGCTCAACATCGAATCTTGTTAAGGTACTGACAAAGTAATAAAACTATACACTTAATTAAAATCAAAGTTGTCGAGGTCCAAACTCTCAACATATCAATTTGCATAAGGCTCTGGTTACCCTGAGCCAACTTAGTCAAGGTACTGGTGTGATGAAACAATACACTAAGTTTCATCACTCTCACTTAATTACAAATAAAGTTATCGTGTCCCAAAGCATCAACCAATCAAATTGATTATCTTGGCTTACCCTAAGCAGAAAATGCTCAATGGACGGACTGACAGACCCATATTAATAGTCCCCAGCTTTCTTAGAGAGGCAGGGGACCATTACTAACCTCATTAAGAAGGTTGTCAGCACCACCTGCAGGTGATGGACCCACCAATTCCCAAAAATCAACTGATAATTCATGATCATCTGGAGCCTGCAACATAAAATTATATCAATCAATGTCTAAAATTCATGTCACATAAAAGGTACACTCATATCAAATGATTAAATGGTTTTATATGTTTGAGAAATCTCAAATCTAATCTTCTGCTACAGAAAGAAGGAGGCAGCAATGAAGAAATGAGGCCTTTACTTTTGTTCTAAATTATCAAGTTAACCCTTAACCGGTCGACGTCATTTTGGCGTCAAGTGGTCAGGCTAAATAAAGGCTGACGTGAAATATTTTGTATGCCTATTTCAATCGACTACTGCCGAATAATTATAAGTGATAGACTCTTGACACCAATAAAAAAGTTGAAGGGGATAAGTTGATCTATAATTTGCAAATCATCTAAGTCCTTTTCATCAGAAATATCGTCTTCAGAATCGGTGTCATCGATATAAACCGAGTCGGAATCATTCATAAGTATTTCAACCACTTCGAGCATCTTTAACCTTCCCGACATCGTTAAATTACGTTTTTCGTCAAAAAATGTTGAACAAAGACATGTTTTTCTCAATGCACTTGACAAGACAAGTTCCTGTCTGAAACGCATTCGTGGCCATATCAATTAAATACAAAACTAAATACTCAAATGCGGCTTATAAAAAAGGTTCTTGCTGTGGTCGTGTCGACCGTGACCACTTAGCTGTATAACGTTGTGGTGATTATAGTCGACAATGACCGGTTAAGGGTTAAGAACAACCCGCGTCAAATAAACCCACAGATTGTGATTTATTCCACATACAACATTAAATACCATGATCAAAATATGACTTACAGATTTTCCCTCTGGTAATTTTTTAATAATACCATAAACACATATTGTGGCTTCCGTTGCTAATGTAAGAGCATTGTATGTCTGACACTGAAATTATTTACAAATATTATTATCATTAAAAGAAACCTGTGGTATCCAGGCAAGATACGCCCACATTTTTCAAGAGATGGACAGAGAACAGGCTAAATAAAAAAATGTGATTTTTTGCACAACCTAGGTCCATAATCCAGAAAGTTATGGTTCAATATGCATGAATATCGAAAGGAACCAAAATCTTTTGAAGAAAAACATATATTTTAAAGGAGCTAAATCGCTAATATTTGGGACCTAGAAATTGAGCCTAATGGGTCGCAACACATATAATTATGTTATCTGATTGTATATAAACTGATTTACATTCAATTGTTTCCGTTTTGACTCTAATTTCAAATCAGTTATGTCCAGCGAAATACGGCATGGATCTCAACCGAATGCCAATTTCTAGCGTCTGGTTATTCCAGTTTATTGCGCATGCTCTCCAGATAAGATATGGCGTCACCATTTGACGCTGAAATGCACTATGGTACACGATTCGTGTACCAATGGTAAAATGTTTATTTTGTCTTCAATATTGCATATCAGACGCCTACCTTTAGCCGGTAAGACCACAACATCAATGTTGATTTGAATTGATAAATAATTCGTGTTCTCAACGTGTAAGATTCATCAAGATTGGATAAAAACCGTGACTTCTAGAGGGTCCACAACCTTGGTATTACATACTTTTACACTATTCGCGTACAAGTAGCAGCCATTTTTTCCAGCAGTTTCGATCCGATTTTCATGAAATTAATCATAATTATGGTCTAACAGTGATATATTTAAATGTTTTTAAAAATCAGATAAAAATTGTGACCTCTAGAGGTTCTACAAGCTAAAAATGTGATTTTCGTACAATCAGGGGCCATAACCCAGGAAGTTATGGTGCGATATGTGCAAATATCGACAGGAACCCAGATCTTTGGGTTATAAGTTTCATCAAAATCAGATCATTAATTGTGACCTCTAGTAATTCCACTAGCTAAAAACAAAATTTTTCATACTCCATGAAGTTACCTTCCAATTTCGAAAGGAACCAAGATCTTTGGGAGATAGACTTATATTTCAAGTTTCGTTAAAATCAGATAAAAATTGTGACCTGTAGAGTGTCTACAAACATGCAAATTACAAATATCATAAATACACTTGTTTTCATACACCGGATAACTTTTGTCATTAGAGCGTTCATGAGGTGCAAGAAAGTGAAACAAGGGCCATAACTCCAGAAGAAATTAACAGAAATTATTGAAATGAAATGGGGTTTAACGTCCTACTGTTCTGCTCCTAACCTAAACCTGGGCTAATGAAGACGGGCATACGCCATACAGTGTGCTATGAGGAAAATTATGCCCGGGCAGCGGCGCTACGGCCTACTCTTATATCGAATTCCAACTGTCGAGGGATCTTTTACGTCTATTCCAATGTATACACGGGTCATCGGTTTTTCGTCCCATCCGAATAGACTAGACAGCTGTTCTTGTCAGGCCCTCCATCCTGCATCACTGACAAGGGGAAACCACGCCGGAAAATCTGAGTGAACTTTCTCGGCCAATGCAGGGATCGAACACCCGACCTCCAGGCTAGCGAGCCAGCGTCTTACCCACTTTGCCATGTGTAAACAACATATATCAATTTCAAAACAATCTAATGATAAATGTAGTATACATAGTCTGCAGAGTGTTCACAAGAAATTATGGATGACGACCGGAAGGACGACAGCTGTATACGACCACATTTTCATGTTATATAAAATTCAACATATATTTCAAAAGTTTGCGTCTGCCAAATTGGACGCCAGGTAAACCTGTAAGAACAAACATGCATGAAGTCAATGAAGAGGTGATTAAGGTTTGTTTGTTGATGTTAATACTTACTAGAGTATCTGACATAACACATTGGACAAATCCTGTACCATCTCTTAATATGACAAACATTAAACTTTTACCTGGGAAAAAACAAACCTGGCGATAATCTTATTATAATTATATTATTTCTCTTAAACATATATCAACAACATACTTCCATTCTTGTCGAAAAATGAAATGAAATGAAATGGGGTTTAACATCCTACTGTTCTGCTCCTATACTGGGCTAATGAAGACGGCCATACGCCATACAGTGTGCTATGAGGGAAATTTTGCCCGGGCAGCGGCACTATCGCCTACTCTTATATCGAATTCCAACTGACAAGGGATCTTTTATGTGCATTCCAATGTATACACAGGACCTCGGTTTTCGTATCATCCGAAGGACTAGACAGCTGTCCTTGTCATGGCCTTCTGTCCTGCATCACTGACAAGGGGGAACCACGCCGGAAACCATTCTTGTCGAACCTCCTATATGCCTACCAGCAGCAAAACCATCCTTGGTAAAATTTGAAACCATCGTATACAAATCCCACAGAACAATTGCAAATCGAGGGGGATAATACGACAATAAACAATCTCACCAAGATCATGCTGGATGCAAACACTAACCATTGGTTGTCCTCTTTGAGTAACCCCATTAATGTTTTAAGTAGAACCTTGTATTGTATTCATACGCTTTAAAAGCCAGGTTATTTTACAGTATATAGTTCCAATCTGGACACTCACCTTGTCGTCTTAATCTGTGTACCCAACCAAATATCTTCACTCTAATGTAACGGTTTGGCACCGTCTCTCGGATTTTGATCTAAAACAGACAATAACAGTCCATTAAGAATATTGGGGAATAGGGGTGATATAGGTTTTGCCCGTTTCTAATCCTTTTTCATCTATTTGAAATAAAATATTGTTTATATATATAAACAAGCCAAGAGTGAGGCTGATGTCCCCTGCCAAAATCCCAAAATAAATAGATGACATATATTAATTAATCGCACATTTATTTTTTTCAAAAGTATCAAGCAATCAAACTGATTATCAACTATACACTAAGTTTCATCACTCTCTATCAGATAGAATCAAAGTTATCTTGTCCCAAAGCATCGACCAATGAAATTTCTTAGCTCTGCTTAGCTTTAGCTCGAAATGTTAATCATTGAACTCAGTCAAGACATTCACCTAATGAACATCTACACCAAGTTTGAACATTCTACCTCAATTAGAAGGAGAGTTATTGTGTTCCAATGTCTCAACCATTCAAATTGCTTATCGCTCTGCTAACCCTCAGCGGAATATGTTCATTATCGAACTTAGTCACAGTATTATCAAGTTTCATCACTCCAGTCTCACTTAATTAGAACTAAAGTTATCGTGTCCTAAAGCATCAACCAATCAAATTGCTTATCTCTGCTTACCCTAAGCAGAAAATGCTCATCTTCGAACTCCATCAAGGCATTGACCTAATAAACACTTACACCAAGTTTAAACATTCTAGCTCAATTAGAAGGAGGTTATTGTGTCCCAAAAAGTGTGGTGGACAGACAGATCACGGACGGACAGACGGAAGACAGGGACAAAAAAGATAGGGTAACAGACTGGGCCTATATAAAACCCCCGATCCTTCAACAAAAAGAAATGACCTGATATCATAGTGTTACTACCTGTTTAGGTTTTGGTAAACTTTTGTCCATCACAACAACAATACTTCTAGCTTCTTCTAAATTTTTCTCTCTTCTTTCCACATCTTCAGACTACAAATAATAGGTATCATCTTATGATCATATCTTAGATAACATCAATTTACATGACATTCAAAACAGGAATAGTATTTTAACATCTGAGACTAAACTAATAAATATCTACTTATAAAAATAAAATAAAACCAAGTACGAACAATCCAAACCATAAGACAGAATTCGAAGTCCTAAAAAACGTTATAGGCAAAATAGTGTATTCAAGCAAAATAGTGTAATCAGCAAATGGACTGCTCCTCGTGTACAAATTACACGACAAACAGTGGTAACAGGTGTCCGGAAGAGTAAGCTTACTGCTGGTTCTATAGGACAATTAGAAAATTACATGAAATGGGGTTTAAGTTTAATGTCCTACTGTTTTAATCAGACCGTGTCTATTAAATGAAATGAAATGGGGTTTAACGTCCTACTGTTCTGCTCCTATACTGGGCTAATGAAGACGGGCATACGCCATACAGTGTGCTATGAGGGAAATTTTGCCCGGGCAGCGTCGCTACGGCCTACTCTTATATCTAATTCCAACTGCCAAGGGATCTTTTACGTGCACGCCAATATGTACACGGGACCTCAGTTTTTCGTCCCATCCGAACGACTAGACACCTGTCCTTGTCAGGCCCTCCGTCCTGCACCACTGACAAGGGAGAACCACGCCGGAAAAAACTGGGTGAACTTTCTCGGCCAATGCAGGGATTGATCACACGACCTCCAGGCTAGCGAGCCAGCGTCTTACCCACTTAGCCACCGTGGCTCCCCTGTGACTATTATATACAGTCATGAGTGTGTTAAACAAAAAAAAAAAATATACCTCTTTCCCTCCAGCATAATGACCTTCTTTCTCAAAGAGTTTAAGGATTTTTTTTAGTTGAGATTTAGTAACCAAATCATATCTCTGAAATTGAAACACAAAATTATTAAGAGATCACTTGAAAGACACTTAAATTTCTTTGAAATATAACGAGAATCTCCTACGAGTCTTTTTTGATATCAAAAAATATCAACACAAGTCGATACACACTGATCAGCAGTGAATATTCGCTAGGCCGCGACAATCACTGATAAGGATGACATCAATGCGACTTAATGAGTCTCAAATATTAACTTTTTTCCACCGACAAATTAAATTCTAAAACATTTTTTTGATGTATTAGAAAAATAAATAAAGACGTTTGACGTATTTGTAGGTAAAAATTATTTCCTATTTTGTGTAAATGGGTATTAAAATGACTAAAAGGCAGCATTCTGCCCGAAGCAGTCAAGTCTTATGTAAACAATGCACATGCCATTCAGCCAATGATTGACGCCGCGTGCTGTGACGGCACGTGATAAAGGCAGTCGTCTTTTACAGAGATATTAGAGAAGAGACGTAATTCTCTGTGAAACAGATTGAAGTCGATAAAGTAAAAAAACGAGGAGATATCGCTGTAGATTATGAGATATATCACACAAGCGATATCTACTGTAGAATGTATTATTGGGTGATAATACAATCTACACAAAGGGTATTTCAACAGATTGAAATGGTTATAATTATTAAAGTTGAGTACAACATTTACTAACCAGATTTTCTTCTTTACGATCAACATAAATCGTAGCATCTTTACCACCATGTCTTAAAGCCTAAAATAAAACAAATTCGTTAAACTGGTTTTCAAATCAGAGCTACAAAGGTACATGACCGGTTTTATTAAGTTCTCTTATGTACGATTTAGATAAAGAGTTGATCGTTCTCTCTATAATATTTCAAAAAGATGGGTTGCCAGGCAACGAAATATACGCCCACAGCAGCTAAATCGTCCGGGCAGTCAACAAGAGTTGTCGCATATTTTTACTTTTTTCGGTAATTAAACATTTATAATACATTAAAATCTGATAACAACTCATTAAGTAATTATCAGAAAACCATTAGAATTTGTTTGGCTTTGATAAACTTCTGCACCATGCTAACGTTTAGTATACGAAACATTTAATATCATGGATTAAGCTGTTCAAGTTATCAAATTTCATTGAAAATCAATATGCTTGTTCGTCTCAAGACCTTAAACTCTGTGTATCAATCTGAAGTCAATCGGATGCTAACTTTAGCCTCTAGAGCATCCACAAGATATTTTGAAGTGATCAAGAACCATAACTCTGGCAATAATTATCGGAAATCATTGAAAATCAATAGGCTTCTTCGTCTCATGACCTTAAACACTGTGTATAAATCTAAAGTCAATTGGATATTAACTTCAGCCTTTAGAGAATCCACAAGATTTTTCAAAGTGATTAAGGGTCATAACTCTGGCAGTATTTATCGGAAATCGGTGAAAATCAATAGGCTTTTTTGTCCCATGACCTTAAATACTGTGTATAAATTTAAAGTCAATCGCATATTAACTTTATCCTCTAGAGCGTCCACAAGCAATTGTGGATGCCGGACTGACGAACGGACCGACTGACGGGGGCGACAACAATATATGACTACATTTCAATGTGGGCATATCAAAATTTACTAAGGCCTCAATATGTATGATAAATGGACAGTAAGTAACGAAAAATATATTCTGAAAAATGGACAATCCCTCAATGAATTAGCTGACGGACAGGGCGTCTTACAACAGCTTATTTATAGCTTGCAGTATCTCTCAACAAATTCAGTGTTTTGAGGGGGATTTGAAGCAAATTTTTGATAGATTAATTAGTATGGATATGTTTTTAGTCCAAATATATCATCAAATCAGGGGTAAGACGCTGGCTCACTAGCCTGGAGGTCGGGTGTTTGATCCCTGCATTGGCCGAGAAAGTTCATCCAGGTTTTCTGGCATGGTTCCCCCTTGTCAGTGATGCAGGACGGAGGGCCTGACAAGGACAGCTGTCTAGTCTTTTGGATGGGACGAAAAAAACGAGGTCCCGTGTACACATTGGCGTGCACGTAAAAGATCCCTTGACAGTTGGAATTTGATATAAGAGTAGGCCGTAGTGCTGCTGTTCGGGCAAAATTCGATATAATTTCCCTCTTAGTACACTGTATAGCGTATGCCCGTCTTGATTAGCCCAGTTCGGAGCAGAACAGTAGGACGTTAAACCCCATTTCATTTCATTTCATTTCATCATCAAATCACATAGTTTGTACACGGGGAAGTATCTTTAAGATAAACTTGACATACAGTTGAAACAGATATCTGATTTAACAGTATTTACTTGAAACATTTGGATCAAACAACCACAAGGCATAACTGTGGGCAGCTAGCTCTAAAATCATATAAACAAGCTTGTTGCAGGCTAACCTGAAGTACGGTTTTGAACGGTTTATCTTGTGTACCAGTTCCAGAACGGTCATCCCCATATTTCTCAGATGTATAAATCTCTTCTGAAAAATTAATTTGATGATATGTTAAACCAACGGCTGCCAGGCAGGATATGCCCACATTTTGCAAGAGATGGATAGAGAACGAGCTAACCAAAAGCGATTTTTCGAACAATCAAGGGCCATAATTCCGGAAGTTAAGATCCGATATGCGCGAATATCGATCAGGAACCAAGATCTGTGGGTTATAAAGATATATGTCAAGTATCATCAACAAAATCGGACAGAAATTTTGACTTCTAGAGGGTCCACAACCTTGAAATACCATATGTTTACACTATTTGCACACGAGGGGCAGACATTTTGTCTGGCAGTTTTGGTCCCATTTTCACGAAATTCCAACTCGGCCATCATTAGGGTGCAACGGTGATATATTCAAACGTTTTTTTTTAAATCGGATAAAAATTGTGACCTCTAGTGGCACCACAAACTAAAAACATGATTTTTCGTGCAATCAAGGACCAAAATTCAGTTAGTTAGGATCTGATATGCGCAAATATCGAAAGGAACCAAGATCTTTGAGTTATAAAAATTGGTTCAAAATTGTGACCTCTTAGAGGGTCCACAGACTCCACAACCTTGATATACCATATTTTTACATTATCACCGTACGGACTGGAGGGCGGCCATTTTGCCCGGCAGTTTTGGTCCGATTTTCACGAAATTCAAACTCAACCGACAATATGGTGTAACGGTGATATAATTGTGACCGGGTAATAATTGTGACCTCTAGAGGGACCACAAGCTAAAAACACAATTTATCATACAATCAGAGGCCATAATTCTGAAAGTTACTATCCGATATGTGCGAACATTGAAAGGAACCAAAGACCATTGGGTTATAAACATGCATATCAAGTTTCATCAAAATTACATACTTTTACACTATCTGCGTACAAGGAGCAGCCATTTCGTCTGGTAGTTTGTGTCAGATTTTTACGAAATTCGAACTCAACCTTCATTGATGTGTAACGGTGATATAATTAAACGTGATTTTTCATACAATCAGAGGCCATAATCAATCAAGTTACATGTATGGTCCGATACATGCCAATATCTAAAGGAACCGAGATCTTTGGGAGATAGACCTATATTTTAAGTTTCGTCAAAATCGGATAAAAATTGTGACCTGTGTGTGTCCACAAACAAATTGTGGGTAGACGGACGGACGGACAGGGGCAACGGCATAATACATCCACATGAAAACATGGGCGTATAAAAATTAGTGTATAAATTAAATGTTTCTTACTACTCATGCTTAATTTCTGGGCTTCTTTTGCCAAATCTGTCATTGATTGGTCTCAATTCACACCTAGGGAAAGATTGGAGACAGAAAAAGAATCAAAATAAAATGATGTGGGGGGGAATGCTAATTGTAGGCCGCTTGGGGAGGTTTTGGGAATTTCAGTAGTCCACAATGGCCACTATATATAAATGATTATTTTGGAGGAATACTAACCCTAAAGCTTTTAAGAGGGCTAAAAGATAAATTGGATCCAAGTTCAGTCTTCTAAAAAGGGTAAGGGTTAGTAATAGTAGCCTATTCCCCAAAATACTCATTTATATAAAGCGGCTAGCTTATAGTGGATTACTGAAATTCGCAAAACCTCCTCAACGGCTAAATCTATTTGTTAAGGTCAGCTCAATTTTTGTCAAGGTCACTGAGATGTAAATAAGGTTAGGGCAGGTGATTGTTGGCGAGATTGTAGGCCAGGGTTAGGGTAAGCATTGGGGCTAGGTCCAAGGTTAGGGTTAGGATTAGCGCTAGCCCTGTTTACATCTCGTGACCTTTGATCAAACTTGAAGTTGGCCTCCCCAACCGGTGTAAAATTAGCATCTCCCAATGATGTAACATGTAGTATAAAAATCTAAAGAGTTCAATACATAATTACACAAAACAAATTATTCATATGCAAAAGTCTAAGTCAAAAACTAAAATAAATCATATTCGTTTCGGTTCAGTCCAACCACAGGAGTTTGACCTTCTATTCGTAATTTCGTATATATATATTATATGCATCGCCCACATTTTTCAAGAGATAGATAGAGTAAAATCTAAAAAAAAAAGAAGTGATTTTTCGTACAATCTAGGGACCATATAATCCAGGAAGTTATGGTCTGAAATGCACAAATATCGAAAGAGACTGAGATATTTGGGATATAAAGATAGGCCCATGTTTTATAAGTTTCATCAAAGAATAAAATTTGTGATACATGCGAATTTCGAAACTAACTGAGATCTTTGGGAGATAAACTTATATTTCAAGTTTTGTTAAAATCGGATAAAAAAATGTGAACGGACGGATCACTGACACATGGACAGACAGGAGCAGCAACAATATACATCCACATGAAAATGTTGAGATATACGCGTACTGATCTGATGTGCTTGTTTTTAGCTACGGTTGATTGGGTGCCTTTACGGCAAACTTAATTTCATTATTAATTAATGCATGTAACATCTTGAAAATAAGTTCATTTTATATTATTAGAACTTATTGAACATACGTAGCGATGTTCAGAATGCACAGCCTACGTACCTCTCTCTAGTGAAACAACTTTGTTTTTTGGGTTTTTTTTGCAAAATTGATACGGGCATTCGTATTACTGTATTATTACTTTGATTGGCTGTTGTACGCACAACGCCCCGCCTTCACAACGTCAAAGAAGTCAAATTTAAAATGTCGGAGAGCCATGGCTATTATCGCTTCGATTTAAAAAGACATGATTTGTACCTGTGCCAGGTGGGATTATATGCTTAATTAGAAGATAATCAAGTCATGTTTCGTATTTATCGGGGGTTTATTGTCCATTTAACCATGCTTGAATCATTATATTAGAACACGAGACACGTACGAGACACGACAGCGTCGAGAGTCGAGTTGTCAGTAATGGATAATTCAAGCATGGTTAAATGGACAATTTGAAACCCCCGATAAATACGAACCATGAATGTGTTTATCGATATTGTAGCTCATATATTAGGGAATTTTCTTCGGATCTATTTAGGAAACATTTTTACACTCATTTTAAAAGGTCGTTATATGGCCACGTGCTTGCGTTCATTTTTCAAAATATTCTCAATAGATTAAGATGCGGTTTAGATTATATTTGAAATAGTATTTCAATTTGCAAACCATGTCACGTTCGATGTTGTTTTCAATTTCAACACTCCGCCAAACCATTCAAAATGACGAAGAGCGAGTTGTTGGTATCAACATAATGGTCCCGACCACACGGTGGCGACCCCAAACGACGTCATAATGATGGTTGCTAAGTAGAAGTATCAAAATTCTAAATTTGTTTGACTTTCATGCTTAACATGTAAAGCGACAACAAAGTAGACATTACATTTTTCGTCTTAATAATAGAAATAAGATGAAACAGAATCAAAATTTACATTGAACAAAAAAAGAAGTTGGATTATACATTGTCTTAATTTAGAAATTACATGAATAGAAGTTAGAAATTGCATGACTAGAAGTTAGAAATTAGACGATAGCATGTTCGCATTTTGAGTCTAATATACTGCCATAGATTAGACCCTAGCTGCCTGCGCCGATTGAAATCTTCGCGTGCATTAAGCTGGTGCGCAGATGTCTTGCGCTGATTACTCCTCGATGTTTTTTAAGGATCAAAGTTGGTAGTAGGATGTTTGACGTCCCATGTAGGATCTGTCCTATATGACTTTGTACTGTAATAATTTTTCAAATAATTTTCAATATCACTGCATAATTAGCGTGTGTGGTAAGAATAAGATTTAAGTAGCATGTAGGCTACCAACCAAATTTTATTTTTTGAGCAATTGCTTTGAAACCTGGCAGAAATAATCACTCAAATATTAGAATTTGAAAACCGTTGAAACTTTTAAATCGGACTTTTACCTTTTATTTAATATTCAATTTTTATTAATTATTTTGTTTTTTCAGTCCGAAATCAGAATCTGGTCCAAAAAGTGGTAATTTGATTCCAGTGCAATGTAAAAAAAATTGTTTTTCAATGAAACTTGGTAGAATAACAGTTTGGTTACTCCTTATTAAATTCACAATCATTCTGATAACAAATAAGACCCCCTTTTTGCAGGAAAAATGGTTATCAATGAACAGGGTTAGGCTTAATTTGACAATTGTTTGTTATTTCTCCTTTTAAACATTTGCTCCCATCACACAAATCCTAAAATATGCATTTCAAGCAGGGGAAAAGGAAGATATATGGAGAAAGAAGGGTGTGGAGAGAGGGTTTTTAACTCCACTTGACACAGACTAGGTCATTTTGGGACTAACATACACCACCATTTTAATTCAATAATTTTCTTGTCAGTAAGGGTCTTTAGTAGTGGGGATGCCGCAGAAAAAACCCATGAAGTTGGGCAGTTGACCCTTCTCCCCGGAAACTGAATCTAAACACATAATACTTTTAATATGATTTATTTAAAAGTTAACAATTTTTTTTTAAATTGAAAAAAATGAACGAAAATGTACATATATGAAATATAAAATTGTACGTAAGTAAAATTTGTTCTAATGCAATTGATTTGTTATACCAGTACCTGAAAATAGATATAAAATTACAACAAGGCTTTTAAGATTTCATCCTACGAAATATTCAATTAAATTCAATTCTTAATAAACTAAATTAAAATAAATAAATAAATAAATAATAAAATAAATAAAATAAAATAAAATAAAATAAAATAAATATTGGTCATTTATATACAATTCAATATATGGTTCAAACCATTTAAATATTATTATTATATAACAATATATGGTATTATATAATAATATTTAAAAGGTTTGAAACAATAATCGTTTTTTGCTAGGTACGTGTTTCTTTTTTTTATATCAACTAGTAGGGGTAACAATTTTTAATCTGGTTTTGGTCCATTTTCTACAGAACGAAGAAAATAATCATTAAAATTTAATCATTAATATATTATAAACTTTTATTGTAACCGATCTATGTAAAAAAAAAAGGTAGAACAAGCACATTTAACAGCTACAACACTCGCCATAGGCACCCATGATGGAAATTCAACTTCCGGTTTATCGCCATGTACCGTTATATGGTGTATTTTTTTCTTAATTCTCATTTTAACGCATGATTATGTCCATGACAATTCGGTTTTTAATTTTTTATGAATGGAAAATTTTCTAAAGTGTCATAAAATCGTAAAATTATGTTGGCATATTCATACGTAAAGAAATGGAAAATGTTTGAATTTTTTAAAATTCTAGAAAAAAACATTCCACTAACCCGATACGTGCAATTGTCATATTCCACAGGCCCAACATTCTCCCAAACATCTCCAGCCAAGTTACACCATCCCCCAATAAAAATAAATGTACGGTCAGACGTAATTCGATACATACGTTTCCGCTTAAAATCATAACTAGTTTTAAGTTCGAGTACGCAAATAATCTTCGCTATACGTCAACTGATCACGTGACTGAATGTCCAAAAATATTTGCTATCATTACAACTTCAGTCCTAGTTTTGTATAGTTGAAATAATTACATTAATAACAAACAGTTAACAGATTTTTAAATATTTTATCAAGTGCAATGTACGTGTTTCTGAAAATTCTGTCACAGCAAAAACCACACTGATCCACAGTGAATATTCGCTAGGCCGCGACAATCACTGATAGGGTGACATCGATGCGACTTAATGAACCACAAATATTAACTTTTTTCCTCCGACAAATTAAATTCTAAAACATTTTTTTATGTATTAGAAAAAGAAATAACGACGTTTGAAGTATTTGTAGGTAAAAATTATTTCCTATTTTAGTGTAAATGGGTATCAAAATGAGTAAAAGGCGCCATTCTGCTCGAATCAGTAACGTCTTATGTAAACAACGCACGCGCCATTGAGCCAATGATTGACGCCTCGTTATATGACGTCATGTGTTGAAGGCAGTCATCTTTAACAGAGACATTAGAAGACTTTCAGAATACTCTGTGAAACAGACTGAGCAAAAACTTGGTCAGTTCCCACTAAAAACTCCGCATAAAAAAAAAAAGAATATTCTTTCTTTAACTAAGGTAATCAACTATGCGATCATACCTTTCTTTTCGCATCACCTTGCTGATCATTAAACTGACGGTCACTAAATTCATGAAAAGGAATAAAACTAACGCAGTGATCCATGTGAATACTAGGTGGATTATTAATGTGTGAAATATTTTTATTTAAGTTTAACGTCCGCTTCCACGAGTAGGCATTACAAAATAAAATATTTACAAGGTGATGAGCGAAAATTTGAACGGATTAGTGAAATATTTAAATATATGTAGCCTACAAAACAGATGAAACATTTAATGCCTGCACAAAGTTCACTCCGCGCGCGCAGATTAGTCATCGAAAATTAAGACAGTTCCGAGCATGCGCGGGGCAATCTGTGCTCATTAATACTGGAAAACAAGTAGCTATGATATCGTTTCGTGTGGAGTATTTAAGCAAATCAAAACGACGAGATTGAAGAAAAAAACATATGAGTGAATGGGTATACGTTAGACTGTCTGACTTTACGAATTGTTGAAATAAAAACGAATCGAGAGCAGGTAAAATTGAGGCTTTAACATAGCCTATTTATTGTCTATTAGGGCATATGTATCCATATATACTATTCAAAAAAAGTAGGGGATATTTGATTTTTAAGTGTTATTAAAGTCACCTAATGAAACTGACGAAGAAACAAATGACAAAATGAAATGAAGTTCACATTCATCGATTTATTCCAAATGATCGTTAGACTAAGTGAGGCACAGACTGACCATTATAAGGGTAAAATGATACCCGGGGTCAAACAGCAAAGTTACCACAGCATCACAACCAAGTCAGTAACGGGTAAATCCTCCTCTGTTTGCCAAACAAGCATTGATCCGACGTGGCATACTCCTAATGAGACGTCTAAGGTTATTTTGGTCCAGATTGTCCCATTCCTGTTGCAACGCAGCAGCAAGTTCTTGGACATTGGCAGGACGTTGTTGACGTTGACGTAACCTCTGTCCAAGCATGTCCCAGACATGCTCGATGGGGGAGAGGTCGGGACTCAGTGCTGGCCAAGGTAATGTGGTGATGTTCTGTTGTTGGAGGTAACCTGTAACGATCCTGGCCCTGTGACATCTTGCGTTGTCATCCTGGAAGATGAAACGGCGGCCATGACGTCGTGCGAACGGCACAACATGGACTGCCAAGATGTTGTCCCGGTAGTACTGGCCTGTAACACGCCCTGCAACAACATGTAAAGCCGTTCTTCCAGCAACAGTGATGCCTCCCCACACCATAACAGAACCACCCCCAAATCGATCATGTCTGATGACGTTAACGTCTTGGAAGCGCTCGTTTCGACGACGCCACACCCTCCTACGTCTGTCCAAAAAATCAACAGTGAACCTTGACTCATCTGAAAACATCACATTGCTCCAGCGTCGATTATCCCAGTGTTGACGATCCCTACACCAACAACGTCTTGCCTGAATGTGATGATCTCTCAAACAAGGGATCGCGCGAGGACGTCGGGCGCGAAGGTGACCCCTATGCAGTCGATTCCGAATCGTCTGGCCACTCACTCTCACACCAGTGTCAGTTTGAAGACGAGCGCTGATCTGATTTGCTGTGATGACACGATTTCTCAAGGCCAAGGTACGGATAAATCGATCCTGGGCTTGAGTTGTCGCCCTTGGTCGACCTGAGCGTGGTCTGTCCTGTACAGATTGTGTATCACGGTATCTGGACCATAGCCTGCTTATGACAGACTGAGAAACATTCATCGTCCGCGCCACAACCGCCTGTGTTGTGCCGATCTGTAGCATGCCAAGGGCACGTAACCTTTCATTTTGGGTAAGCCGACGCATATCAAAATTTGTTTTCTGGTCACTAAAACAATTAAACTCATGTTTCCACCCTGGAATTCAATACCACAATGACTGTAACATTCAAAGTCAGAGTCGTGCAAATCTTGGGTTGGACCCCCATGATGATCCCAAGCATTACCTGCATTCCATGCGGTAGCTATTGGTGCGTTTGGGCGTCACATGTAACTGGAAATGTTTCTTCTGTTAGGTTCTATAGTGACTTTTTTCGTAGTCATTTACATATTTTAGTATTATGCCCCCAAAATCAAATATCCCCTACTTTTTTTGAATAGTATATATACGGATAGAAGGTCAGATTCCAATCTGTTTCACAGGGTATTTACTATTACGAAAGTATTCTAATAACTCTGTAAAAGATGGCGGCTTTCAACATAATGACGTAACACCATGCGGCGTTAATTATTGGCTCAGTGGGGCGTGTATTGTTTACAGAAGACGTTACTAGTCCGGGCAGAATGGTGCCTTTTACTCATTTTACATACACTAAACAGGAAATATTATTTACCTACACATACTTCAAATACCGTTATTTATTTTTCCAATGCTTACAGAAAAATGTTCAAGAATTTACATTGCAGAAGGAAAGAAGTTGATATTGGGGGCTGTATAGTGACCGAGCGAATATTCACAGCTGATCAGTGTGGTCAGACTCCCGTGGCCGTGGTCAAAGTTTGAGCTGGACTGAGGTTGTCGTAAACTAACGGACTCTAAGGATTATTTTACTTAATGTAAATTAGTTTCGGTATTAATGAATTTGTTTTGGATTTGTACCGCAAAAATTCATTTGGTTTTATTTATAAATATTGCGAATACAACACCAAATCTTTTTTGTGGTAAATCCATGCCTTAAGCGGCGTTTACACGATACAACCAATCCATACAACCGTCGGATACAACATATTGGTCGATTGTTTATATATATACAACGGTTATATTCGTTGCATGGTGTAGCATTTCTTTTCTTTTTTTTTTTTGGCTAAATAATACATGAAATCAATTTACAAAAAGTACATTGGTTGACATAAGGATACAATTCACCGGCTTAAATAATATAGTATACACTGTACCGGAATGATCAAGAAATCAGAGTTACGATACATCATACTGTCATTTCTGGTAGTAGTATGATTCTACACCACGATCTCCAGAGGTTCGCTATAAATTTTTGGGTCCATTGTATAACGGCGAATAAAGACAGACAGTTTATGTAATATGTTAAGCTCTTTATTCCAACAACAATTAAAATATTGAGGAATAAAGCAAATTAGATAAAATAATAAACCAGGTTAAAGCATAATGATGCGATTATTATCATAGGTGCCGACTGTATCAGGTTTTCGTTGGTGCACTTCGGGTGCTAACTAATATTATAAACCTGTAACGGTAAATCTCTTTGATCTTTGGGGTATATTCTATGCCAGGAATAACTTGCGGTCTGAAAGTCGGGGCGGCTTTGTATATATGCAGGGAAATTTGGGGATATTCTTCTGAAAGTTTTTCTTTAAACCTGTAACGGGTTATTCTTCCAAGGTAGGGTTTTTTCCATAAGAAAACATGATATAAGGTTTTTCTTACGGGAACTCTGGGATATTCTAATCTTGCGTATATGTAAACATAGACGGTTTATAAGCAAGATAAAGTCCTCGACTTCGGTTATGCTGGGGAAGAAAGACTTCAGAAAAAAAACCTCGACAGAGAAACCTCGGCCTACCGACCTCGGTTTTTCTTTTTCTCGGGTTATTTTCTTCAGTCTCTCTTTCACCAGCATAACCCCAGTCTCGTGCTTCATACTACACTTAAACTATGGGTGCTCTTAACTGGAATAAACTACATGTATTTCTGTCGTAGGTTCACGATCGATGTTGACAAGGTTAAGTAGGTCTACGATCGGTGCTAACTTAAAACTGGTGCTTGATAAGGAATTCACTATCAACAGTTCTATATAGATAGGCCCCAAACTCGGAGCTACTTTAGTTACCGGAACTGTCATTTGCTATACTTGGAGAAGCTCAAATGAAAGGTTTTCCTAGGGTCAAAACGTGCTTACCGGACGTAATCTTAATTTTTTGCGTCAGCAGGGTTAGGGTTAGGGTAAAAGTCTAATCAAATACTATCGCTTCTTACCAAAATTCCGAAAAGTTCCACCAAGAAAACACGTCCTCCCTCAGTGAATGCAACGGCGTTCTATCCAGGTGGGTGTATTGTATTCCACCTTTAAAAATACCCAAAAAGGGGAGGAGCTATCATTAACTATCAGGGCAAGAATACCAATGTATTTGTAGGCGGAAATTAAGACGCATAACCACGCCTTGACATGATCGGTAAAGATATTATTAACACTATTCAGAATAGGGACCATTACATTTGCACAAACATGAAATCATGAGGACTGACGAATCGATTTGTTGCTTTATTTTCAATGCATATACAAACAAATTGCCAGTTAACTCGTCCACAGGCAAACTCGTCAACACGAAAAGTCTAGTTATGTCGTATATAAAAATACGTTGGTCGACTCGTACATACTGATTGGTTAAGATATGGATAGTATTCATAGTGATTAGGGGGGTTGGATGGCCGAATGGTTAGCACGCGCACGCTGTATCACAAGGCCTGTCATTGAGTCAACTGGCGTGGTTTCGAATCCCCGGTTGTACGTGACAAGGGGTAGGGTTGCCTGTCCAGCCTCGTGGGTTTTCTTTTGGTCCTCTGGTTTCCTCCCACTGTTAAAGACCCCTTCGCACAAGCGAATTATTGAAATAAAATTAAACCATATGATAGTCCAGAAATGACCTGGTCTGAGTCGAGTGGACGTTAAACCCCATCTCTCTCTCTCCCTCTCCCTCTCTCTCATTAGTCCTTCGGATGAAACGGAAAACCGATGTCCCGTGTATACATTGGAATGCACGTAAAAGATCATTTGGCAGTTGGAATTCGATATAAGGGTAGGCGATAGTGCCGCTGCCCGGGCAAAATTTCCCTCATAGCGTATGCCCGTCTTCATTAGCCCAGTATACGAGCAGAACAGTAGGACGTTAAACCCCATTTCATTTCATTTCATTTCTCTCACTCATAGTGATTATAATTAAGTGCACAGAGTGATGCTTTATCGTCGTTTAAAGTTGCAATTTCATATTTTAAAGTTATATTTTTAAAATTTATTAAAATAAAGCCTGAAAATAGATGGTATCCATAAACAGTCCTACCTTGTTAAAGAATAATCCTATTAATCCTTTTAATTCACTACTGCCAGTTGAGAAATTGACAAAAATATCATTTTCTTCTTCAAATTCAAACGTTTGAAGGTAGCTACTCCATGGTGGAGAATAGAAAACAAGGGAGGTAATTGGGAGGTAATTGTGTTATTATTTCCGGTGTAAATGAGTTTTAAGTGTGAGAATGACACCTATGATCGTATAATAGTGAGTTAACAACCTATTGGGCAAAAGAAATAGAAATAATTATGTTTTGACTTTCTTAGAAAATATGAAATTGTAACTTTAAAATCATATACCGTGTCTTTGTATGGCTTCTGTCTTTGGATTTGTTAAGTAGTCTATTGTTACCGTTTGTATAATAAACAGTGCTAAATCATGTCACCATACTCTTAATACAAAACAAATCTACTATAATATAGGGAATATACAATATCTTCGAAATAATCACAAATTGGTACTCAAACCTCTTCATGATTGAACAATCACAATAACATTCTATTTGAAGTAATCTGAATCGACTTCCAAATACAGCATTTACACACATTTCAATTGTATATTTTACTGTGAAAAATTATATTCCACATTCTGTTAAATTTTGGAAATAATTCTACTGTCTGGCATTGAAAAACAAATGAAATTTAACGACCTACTGTTCTGCTCTGACTGGGCTAATGAAGACGGGCATACGCCATACAGTGTGTTGTGAGGGAAATTTTGCCCGGGTAGCGGCACTATGGCCTACTCTTATATCGAATTCCAACTGCCAAGTGATATTTTTACATGCACGCGAATGTATAAACGGGGCCGCGTTTTTTTTGTCCCACCCGAACGACTAGACAGCTGTCCTTGTCAGGCCCTCCGTCCTTCACCACTAACAAGCGGACACCATGTCGGCCAATGCAGGGATCAAACATGCGACCTCCAGGCTAGCAGGCCAGCACCTTAGCCACCGTTGCATTGAAAAACAACCCAGTATATTTTTCTTTGATAAACTTCATGTTGTGTCTCTGTGGTCTCCTGTAACCTACGGATTGTCTGTTGGTTCTCTGGGGCTGGGATCATTGACCAGTAACTGATGTCTAAACAAAACTCCTGTGAGAGCAATCCTGGTGTAGGGGTAATCCATAGAAAACCCCGAGGAGGGGAGGCGAGGGGGTGCAATCTATCGAAAATCCGGGTGTGCGGGCCAATCTAATTTTAAAAAATCCTACTGTGAAAGCTAATATTGAGAAAAATCCTGCTGTTGGGGGTAATCTAATAAAAAAAAAGAATCCTTCTGTTGGGAGCAATCAATCGAAAACCCTTTTGTTGGGAGCAAGCTATCGAAAACCCTTCTGTTGGGGGCAATCTATCGAAAATCTTGCTGTGCGAACCAATCTGAACAAAACTCCTGCTGTGACGGATAATCTAATAAAAAAAATCCTGCTGTTATTATTAAACTGAACAAAACCCCTGCTATGATGGCTAATTTAACGAAAAATCCTCCTGTGATAGTTAATCTAACGACAAATCCTGCTGTGATGGATAATCTAAAGAAAAAAAATATTGCTGTGATGGATACTCTAAACAAACAACCTGCTGATGGGTCCAAACTATAGAAAATCCTGCTGTGAGAACAAATCTAAACAAAACTGCTATGAAAACCAATCTGAAAATAAATTCTGCTGTGATGGCTAATCTGTCGAAAAATTCGGCTGTGATGGATAATCTAAAGAAAAATCCTGCTGTTGAAACCAATCTATAGAAAAATTAAAAAGCGGTTGCTATGCAAGATAACACCCACATTTCGCAAGAGATTGACAGAAAACAAGCTAAAAAAAACCTTTTTTTAGTACAACCAGGGGGACATACAATAATCCAGGAAATGATGGTCTTATGTGCGCGAATATCATAAAAAAAATCGTAATCTCTGGGATATAAACATCAAATACAGAAATAAAAAGTTCTGACTCCTAGATGGTCCACAACCTTGGTATTACATGTGGGCGTACAAATATTAAAAAGTTAATGTTTTAAATACACACTAGTTGCTTTGTTTTATGCGCGATAATTTATGTCCGATAGTTTGTGTCAGATTTTTACGAAATTCGAACTCAACCTTCATTGATGTGCAACGGTGATATATTTAAACGTTTCTTTTTAAAATCGGTTAAATATTGTGACTTCCAGAGGGTCTACAACCTTGGTATTTCATACTTTTACATTATTTGCGTACCAGGAGCGGCCATTTTGTCTGGCAGTTTGGGTCAGATTTTTACAAAATTCGAACTCAACCTTAATTGATGTGTAACGGTGATACATTTAAACGTTTTTTAAAATGGAATACAAATTGTGACATCTAGCAGGTCCACACGCTAAAAATGCGATTTTTCGAACAACCAGGTGCCATGATCCAGGAAGTTACGTTCGGATATGCGCGATTATCAAAATTAACCAAGATCTTTGTAATATACATGTAAATTTAAAGTTTCATCAAAATCAGATCAAAATTGTGGCCTCTATAGTAGACTATAGAGAGTCCATAACCTAGATATACGATATATTTACACTATTTAAGTGCGAGTGGTGGCCATTTTGTCCTGCATTTTTGGTCCGATTTTCACGAAATTCAAACTCAACTGTCATTAGGGTGTAACGGGGATATATTCGAAAGGGTTCTATATCATTTTGTAACTTCTGCAATTGTGCATTTTACTGTTGTTAGTTGTTCTATGTATGTTAGTTATTTCTAGATGCCTCACAAATCACTTTTAGTACTTTTCAGTTTTTGTCAAAGTATTTCAATATTTAGTGCATAATTAATCTTATTAGTGCTTGGTTTGATTGTTTTGGGATACCGTGTAAATATGTGGAGATGTGGCAAGTATATTAGATTATGCCACAATTTGACATTTGTATTCTTATCTTTGTTGCATATTCTGTATATATTTGCCTACTATTCACATACCTGTATCATTTGTATTCTTATCTTTGTTGCATATTCTGTATATATTTGCCTACTATTCACATACCTGTATCATTTGTATTCTTATCTTTGTTGCATATTCTGTATATATTTGCCTACTATTCACATACCTGTATCATTTGTATTCTTATCTTTGTTGCATATTCTGTATATATTTGCCTACTATTCACATACCTGTATCATTTGTATTCTTATCTTTGTTGCATATTCTGTATATATTTGCCTACTATTCACATACCTGTATCATTTGTATTCTTATCTTTGTTGCATATCCTGTATATATTTGCCTACTATTCACATACCTGTATCATTTACTTGATAAAGATGAGAGTATCTTCGTCGAAACGTCGCTTAGTATTAAACTCAGTAATTGTGTATCCATAAAATTGTACCCTGTGTTAATATGTTCAATTACTAAATGCCAATCAAAGAAGCGCCTATTTACTTGGCAATGTCTAATTATTTTGGAGTCCATTCATATTCTATTTCCATCGACAACAATGTGGATATTACCTTGTACAAGAAATGAAATAAAATGAAATGAAATGAGGTTTAACGTCCTACTGTTTTGCTCCGAACTGGGCTAATGAAGACGGGCATACGCCATACAGTGTGCTATGAGGGAAATTTTGCCCGGATAGCGGCACTACGGCCTACTCTTATATCGAATTCCAACTGTCAAGGGATCTTTTACGTGCATGCCAATGTGTACACGGGACCTCGGTTTTTCGTCCCATCCGAACGACAAGACAGCTTTCCTTGTCAGCCCCTCCATTCCTGCATCACTGACAAGGGAGAACCACGCCGGAAAATCTGGATGAACTTTCTCGGCCAATGTAGGGATCGAACACCCGACCTCCAGGCTAGCGAGCCAGCGTCTTAGCCACTTAGCCACCGCGATTCCCCCTTGTACAAGAGCATCGCTAACGCTGCAATATACGTCCACATCCCTGCTTTCATTGATATGGTACTTTTTAAAATGAAGAGAATGAAATATGAAATGGCTGTAATATGACAAGA